TTCCTGCTTAAACACAATTATAGCTCTTCAATGCTCTGAATTGTACAAGACGGTTTTCCTAAATAAAACTGAAAGACTTCAATGGAGTCCTCAAAGTGTTTCTTTAGAGTCATGTGACAACCCAAGCTGGTTTCATGGGTTCCAATGGCTGCTGGGTTCTTGGGTGGATCTGGGGTGGGGGGGTGGCACCATGTGCTCGGGTGGGCTTTTTTTTTTATCCTCCTGAAAAGGTGCAAGAGTGCTTTTCCATCAAAAAAACCCCAAAACCCAAGAGTTAAAGGTTTACCTGGTTTAGGTGGGATCTGCCTGGCCACAGGCTCCTGAGTTAATCTGAAGGGCTGGCACATGGTTTAAAAAAAGGGAACAAAGTGACCTTGGGAACATGGTCTGATCCACTGGGCAAGAAGAAAGGGAGGGGTGAGCAGGATGTGGCATCTGTTTCAAGGGGGGAGAACTCCATCTGATGCTTCTTGGGGGTGCACAGTGCAAAGCTGGGCCCCCCAATTTTTAACTTCTCTTCCACAAGCGGCTGATCCCACAGAGAAGCCCTGCTGGGGGCCCGTCTTCTGCCACACCTTAGGTGGGTTTGATGGCACTATCCAAAACTGGTGCGACTTGGCAGAATCTAGCAGCCTGCTTTTTATTTTACGAAGGAGTCTGTATGATCACTTGGATGGAGGAGAATCTCATGGGTGCAAGTCTCATGTATGCAGTTCCTGGCAGCCCAGGGGGTGTGACCTATTGCATGTCCCTACTTGGGCACATTAAGATCTGCTGTGACTTGAGGTTTTGAGGGATCTTGGCTTGTTTCATAGCTTTTTTCCATTAAAACCACCATTTTCTGTGAGGTGCAAGAATAATAATCATAACTGTCCTGTGCAAACTTCTGGGTTTGCTTGAAAAGACATTTACCTCGAAGATGAATCCATTACTACAAGCAAAGGGAGCAGTTACAGGGACTTTACACTCACCAGAGGAGCATTCAAACCAGGAGAGGTGGGGATGTCACGGCTGTGTGGTCATGCGAGGCGCTCACCGCCCAGTTTTATGACCTGGCATGGGATGGCAGGCCTCACCGGAGCCACTGTGCAGCTTGCCCTGCAACACCAGCCATGCTCTGGACACCAGCCAGGGCTGCACCAGCCCCAGCTGTGGTCCTTCTGTGGTAGAAGACGATCTGGGAGGGAGGAAAAGGTTTGGACTTCTCCTTCAGAGACCCCAGTGGAGCAGCACAGCCTGCTGTGAGAGCCCGAGGTGGCTCGAGCCATGGACCACATCCTGGTTTCCTCCTCTGGATCACAAAGAGCCACCAAAATGCTTGCCACCACCTCGGCTTCAGCTTTACTATTGTCAAGAGCATCATCACCAGTAATGGCCGAGTGCATCACAGCAACAGGACAAAACCCATCCTAATTAGGACACGAGTGGAGTCGACTGCAGAAGCTGAAGATGCTGTGGCACAGGCAACATGAGACAACCACATCTCCAAACAAAACTTAGATCAACATCTTCCCGCACCAGGGAAGTCTGTGCCCTGATTGCATCTGTGGGCTTTTTGTGGTCTTACTTAGGAAATATTTTGACGACTTACTCAAAAATCCCCCCTCTGGGGAAGACTGCTGCATGTCAGTCCCAGATACTGGCTGATGTTGATTAAGATCTGAACTGTAGGACCATATCTAGGACAACTTTCTCTGTTTTACCCTTGGGGTCCAGCCTGGGGAGGGTCCAAAGGTACTGCACTGCTGCTGCTGTCTCTTCAGCACAAATTCCCAGGGGATGGAGTTGTTGAGGGATATCTCGGCACATTTGAGGCATGAAACAAGCCTCATTGGTGCTTTACAAATTACAAGTGGTTTTGCTGCCAGCAAACCATTTCCTGAGTCAACCAAGTATGAGTGTTTTTGGGAGAACAACTTCTAGGAGAACTTTTGTGAAGACCAAATTCTTCAATGTCACATCTCCCTGGAATTGTTAAAGCTTCACCAGTTCCTGCATGGTAGGGAGAAGAGCTGAAGGAATGGGGTGTAAGAGGAGGGGAAAATCATTCAAGACACACAGCTGAATACAGACATCCTCTGAGAAAAGCAGAACCAAGCAAAAGAGATGCTGCTGCACAGCCAGTCCCGGCTCTTGCCACTGCAGCTCTGGCTCTGTGGGAATGAGTTTGCTATCCGCTCTCTCTCCAGCAAGCAAACCACAGCAAGCTGGGTAGAGGTGAACATCCACAGCATGGTTTTGCCAAAATGTTCATGCACTGTCTGAAAGAGGAAGGCTGCACAGCCGCAGGCCAGCCCTGGCTGCTTGACACAGGCTGGCCCATTTCAGCTCAGCTAAACCGGGCTTACCTGCACCACACAGCAGTTACAGGGTGGCCTAACACCTCTCCTTACCTTCTTTGCCCTTCACAGAAAGGTGAGTGCAAGCACAACTAATTCCTCAGCTTGATGAAAAATGAGCAAGAATCAAAGGTTGGGGTTTCCGCATCGCTTTTCAGTGCTGCTGACACCTAACTTGGCCATTTGGAGCATATTCAGCTTTGCTTAGGTATGACATCTGTCTCCTGGGCCGTGCAGATAATCTGAGCATGGAGGAGACTGGGTTGAGCCCTCGCATGGCTGTGTCTTGCCCGTGTGTCCTGCTGGGCTGGACTTGCACCGTTCGGTGAGCACAAACTGCCTGGCAGGATGGTTTGTTCCCTCTGTGGCACAAAATACACACTGAAGGGGACAGGGTCTGGCAGGCAGCTCTGGGCTCCAATCCAGCAGATGGCATGGGAGGACACGAAATCCAGGCAAGGAGACACTGCCTTCTCCTCACCACCTCCTCTTTTGCCACCACTGACAGAGAACATGAATACAGAGCATCTCTGGACTGGGCAGTGAAGGAGGCCATGGTGCGAAGGCTTTTGCCTCACCTTCCTGCAGAAGCTGGAACAGATTCAGGAGATGGTATGGGGTGACAGCAGGAGGGGAGCAGACTGAGGCTGTCGGACACTGCTTGGTGCTGACTTCTCCTGGGCAAGTCAGCCACAGGTGCCGTGTCCCCTGTGCCCTCAGCTCATCCCATCCCCTTTCTAGGGGTGACAGGAGTTGGTCAAATCCGTGGAGGGTTTCCAGAGGCCACGCTTGGCCACCAGTGTTCAAATCCTGGGGTGGGCAGGGCAGCCCTGCTACCGGCCCCCCTGCGTGTCACTGTGGGTCACAGAATCCCAGCATGGCAGGGGCTGGAAGGGCCCTCCAGAGGTCGCCCAGCCCAACCCCCCCTGCTCAAGCAGGCTCACCCAGAGCAGGGTGCACAGGACATCGTCCAGGTGGGCTTTGAATATCTCCAGAGAAGGAGACTCCACAGCCCCCTTGGGCAGCCTGGTCCAGGGCTCGGTCACCCTCAAGGTAAAGGAAGTTCTTCCTCACATTCAACTGGAACCTCTTCTGCTTCAGTTTGTGCCCACTGCCCCTTGTCCTGGCGCTGGGCACCACTGAGAAGAGTCTGACTCCGTCCTCGTGACACCCACCCGTAAGATATTTGTATGTGTTGATGAGGTCCCCTCTCAGCCTCCTCTTCTCCAAGCTAAACAAGCCCAGCTCCCTCAGCCTTTCCTCGCAGGGGAGATGCTCCAGTCCCCTCATCATCTTTGTACCCGGGGTCGCCAGCAGCCAGTTTGGGGCTCTCTGCCGAACGCAGGCAGGCGCGGGGGGGCGGCAGTGGGGCCGGGATCCCTCCTGAGGGCAGCTTGAAACCTGTACGGGGGGCGGACAGACCTGGAAACGACCACCGCCCCTCAGGTTCCCGCCGCCCCGCTGCGTCCTCCCGTCACCGCCCCCTCAGGGCTCCTCCTCCCGCCGCCCTGTTCC